AGAAATTATGGGATATGTACTCTTTAGAATACTATACCGCAGTAAGAAACAACGAAATCCAGTCATTTGCAACAAAATGGAGGAATCTGGAACACATCATGCTGAGTGAAATAAGCCAGTCCCAAAGGGACAAATACCATATGTTCTCCCTGATCGGTGACAACTGACTGAACACCAAAAAGGAAACTTGTTGAAGTGAAAGGGACACTATGGGAAACGGTGACTTGATCAGCATAGCCCTGACTGTTAATGAACAACTTAATACATTATCCCTCTTAGTAGTTTTTTTGTCTGTTCTACTTAATATGACTGATTTAATTCTGTAATTAATACACAGTTATTCTTAAGTGTTGAAATTTAACTGAAATGTGATCCCTGTTAAACATAAGAGTAGGAATAAGAGAGGGAAGAGATATATAATTTGGGACATGCTCAAGCTGACTTGCCCCAAATGGTAGAGTTAGAAACATACCAGGGGACTCCAATTTAATCCCATCAAGGTGGCATGTACCAATGCCATCTCACTAGTCCAAGTGATCAATTTCAGTTCGCAATTGATCATAATGAAAGGACTAAGAGTCAAAGGGAGCACATAAGCAAGTCTAGTACCTGCTAACACTAACCGATAGAATAAATAAAGGGGAGAGTGATCCAACATGGGAAGTGAGATACTCAGCAGACTCATAGAATGGCAGATGCCCTAAATAGCACTCTGGCCTCAGAATCAGCCCTAAAGGCATTCAGATCTGGCTGAAAAGCCCATGAGAGTATTTCAGGCATGGAAAGCCAAGACACTCTGGCAAAAGATCTCTGTGAGTGAGATCTCAGTGAAAAGAACAGGTCTTCAAAGAAGGAGGTACCTTTCTCTGAAGGGAGGAGAGAACCTCCACTTTGACTATGACCTTGTCTAAACAAGATAAGAGTCGGAGAACTCAAGGGGCTTCCATAGCCTTGGAAACTCATGACTGGAGCATAGGGAGATTACTGATGCCATAGACAGGAGTGTCAATTGGTAAAGTCAACAACAGGAGTCACTGTGCACTTACTCCTCATGTAGGATCTCTGTCATTAATGTGCTGTGCATTGAGATTTAATGCTATAACGAGTACTCAAATAATATATTTCACTTTGTGTTTCTATGGGGGTGCAAACTGTTGAAATCTTTACTTAATGCATACTAAACTGATCCTCTGTAAGAGAAAAAAAAAAAAAAAAAGGAAAAGGATAGAAACTATCACTCCCAACTTGACTCTCACTGGGATTAAACATGACAATAGGTCTGATCTGATTTCATCATCATTAAAAAAAATCATCTATTATTTTTCACTTTATGTTTCTGTGTGGGAGCAAACTGTTGAAATCCTTACTTAATGTATACTAAGCTGATCTTCTGTATATTAAGATAATCGAAAATGAATCTTGATGTGAATGGAAGGGGAGAGGGTTGTGGGTGGGAGGGACGGTATGGGGGGGAAGCCATAGTAATCCATTATTCGTACTTTGGAAACGTATATTCATTAAATAAAAGTTAAAAAAAAAAAATTAGTGTTCACACAACTGGAAACGATTATACTTAGTGAAATAAACTAATCCTAAAAAGACAAAAAAAAAAAAAAAAAAAGAAAGTAGTGAACTTCCATTAAAAATCAAGATAATTCAAGATCTAATTCTAGACTATTTTGCTTCTTTGTTTACCTTCAGCAGGAATGAAAATTAAGTCATTCAGATAGGCAAGCCGGTTCTTCCCAAGGAGCTGACTTGATTTGAGAAAAGTCAAGAGAGACGTTTACCAAATTAACAAGCTCTGAAGACGCTGGCAAGAAACTGAAGCTATCTTCCGGGCACTGTATAACCCCCGGCAGTGCAGATGGCTGTGTGGTCTACGTGGATGCCCCAAACCCGTTTATTTTATGCATGAGTGTGTAAACACGATGCTTCTAATTTTCGTCTGGAATGGTCTTTCCCTGCAGGAGTTTCTACTGCACGGCCCCTGGTTGTGTCCCAAACGTGGCTGCAGCCTCGTAGCCCAGTCCTGCAGCGCTCCTGGCTTCTGCAGCCTGTCGGGTGGAACCTGGGTGCTAATGTGGAAAAATCAGTTCTCACACTGAGTGCTGAGAGACTGATAACCGAGCTCTCAGTGAGCCACACGTTTCCAGAGACGAAGCACAGGGCTGTGCACAAAACGCCTGTGTTTTCCCACAGTGCAAAGTCTTCCGACGCGGCTGTGGACATGGGAGCGTGCAGCAGAAAAGCAGCTTTGGCTGGGTGATTTCTCCCTCCCGGGCCATAGAATGGAACAGATACTCGCGCTCCTTTATGCGGCTCCATCTCCTAATGAGATTCTGTTTCTCATGGGCAGCGAAAGCGTCCGCGCCCCTTCCAGTGCTCAGCAGATCAAAGTCTCCATGCTGAATAGAAAGCCAACCTTGCTCCTCCCACACAGACAGTTCCGTTTGAGAGCAGACCCCAGAGCAGTGTGGGAAGCAGGGTCTTCTCACTAACTTCGCCTCCACACACACAGCTCTGCTCTAACAATTGACAGTGGCTATTCAGAGATCGTCCGTGGGACACCCCCGAGTCTCCTCAGTTCTCTTCCTGCGTGAGGCTCCCAATTTCTCTGCTGGTCACCTGGGAACTGTTATGCGCCCCCTGCCCCCTGGATGGGGGGATTTGACTCTATGCTCAATCCCCTTGGATCACCACGGTGTTTGTCCTCAATTACAAGTGGCCTTCAGTACCATCTGCACCTAAAACACCCAAGGGGGGAGCGATGCTAACTTGAGAGGGAGCTGGGAGAGGAAGAAGTAAGAGGAGCCCAGAGACATGGCCACTTTCAAGGGAATGGGCTAGTTACCAGCGACGGACACGCAGGAAGGGCTGCGTGCGTGGAGGCTGATAACAACCAGAGATGGTCAGCATTGACCTCTGGATGGGTATTTTCTTGGGAATAGACTGTCGCATGGAAGTCAGGTGGAAAGGGGCTGCAGGGGGAGACATGGAGGAAACACCTCCTCACCAGGCTACGACTCTCCATGTGACGGGGGACTCTGGCCCGTCAGGCCCCAGAAGAGAGCATCTTTTCCCGGGATGGTAAGATCGCAGCTCAGAGGAATAAGTCAGTGGAGAAGAAGAGATAAAGACAGCAAATGGAATGTCCACTGGGTACGTTTATGAACGAGCATCAGCATCATGGCGAGCAAAGGCAGAAGGGTCAAATGAAGAAGGCAAGTGAGGGAGGCAAGAGGCAGGGCCTTGTTACCATCGTAACTGTGGGGAGCAACTGGGAGCAACTCGGACTAGACTGTTACTGGAATTAAGACTTATTCTATGCATCTGCTTTCCCACAATATGGCGCTGAGAAGGGAGAAACAGCTTCTACACAGCTGCCTCCAGTTCAACCAATAAACTGTAGGACCTGCTCCTGATTGGAGGAGAGCAGCGTACTCAGCGTGTGGGTAGCAGAGTTGGGATTGGCGGAAGAGGACTATAAAGGAGGAGAGAGACAACATGCACCAGGAACATCTATCTGAAGGAACGCCTGTGCAGCCCCCGAGAGAGCCGGCCGGCGGTGTGCCGCTCCCCTGCGGAAGTGGGGAAAGTGGCCAGGGGGAACCGCCCTTCCACGGAGGTGGAAGGGACGGTAGCCAACCCGGGAAGAACCAGCAGCAAACCCGGGAAGGGCCGAGCAGACGAAAGAACAGCGCAGGGTCCTGTGTCGTTCCTCCACGAAGACGGGGAGCGACAGTAACAAACAGCACAGGACATCTGCAGGTGTCACGGGAAGGGGAGATGCTCACTGAGGCCCCAGGTTGTGTTAGGTTTTGAAGGCACACTGCGCAGTTCAGGATAGATCAGAACAGGGATTGCCGTACGTCACTGGGGTTCTGAAGTTTCAGGGAGGTCGAGAGGCAGGCTTGTGACGTTTCTCTAATGAATCAGTGAAGGAGAGAAGCCATTAGATGAAGTCTAGAGCCCCCAGAAACAAGAAGAGGAAAGCGAGTGTGGCAGAAATTCACAGAGAAGGACAAGCAAGCGTCCACTGGAGGACATAGGTTTACTGCAAACTGCGAGCTTTATTCTCACAAGAAAGCGAGTGAAACCAAGAAAATGCTCACACACGGGACTCTAGGGGTTGAGTAGCTTCATTTATAAGACTGAAGGCAAGCAGAAATGTAGGCGATTGAGTAAAAATAAAAATAACCGTAATAATATTATTGAGACTAAAGTCTTTGACAACATACATAAAATAAGTAAAATTGAAAAAAAAATCCAAGTCTAGAAAGAAGGAAATACAGGATCATTTGGTTAAAATCTGAATGAAGATATTTTAGGCCTATATATTTTATACAATTTTGAATTATAAAAGAAAAAATAACTTTTAAAAGCTTATACTTGATCAAGCAGGTCAGCCAGTGTTTGGGCTCTGGTTACAGATCCTCCACTTCTGGATTAGATAAACTGTTGGCCTTCATGTTCTCGGCCATAAAACGGGAAAGGGCTTTTTAGGAAGATGAAAGACGGGAACTTTTTGAAGACCCCAATGATGTAAAGGCTCTTTGAAATTTTGAAAACAGTTATCAGTGCGGTATCATTAGCACTGCAATGTGTTTGATGTTCCCAGCTTATCTGATGCTCTCAAGGCAGTAGTGAGTGACGTGAAGGGAAACGGTGGGACCCTGTGGAATCACCCGACAGGCGTGGTAAGCCCTCTTATCTGTTCCCATGCCTCCCTTCCTCAGCTCCGGCCCACATCTCCTTCTTTCCACAGCAGACTACTGAGACACTTCGGTTTTGGCGCGCAACAAATATTTTCCTGAGTTTTTAATCTCTCTTCTTTCTCTGTGCACAACTTTCTCACACCCACAGCCATGAGGTCACCATCGCTAGTGCAACATCACATGTAGACATGAGTCATACTGTGGATACGCTGAAAGGAAGGGTCTCCAACCCTTAGCACCATCGTGCAGGCCTCGTGCCTGGGTCCCGCACGCACCACCTACCGTTGAGCCACCTGGAATCGTGCTGCTCCGTCCTGATGGGGTGGTGCTGACCAAGTGTTCGGAAGATAGCAAAGTCTCGCCCCATAAAATCCGCCGCAGTTCCAGAGTACAATTCTCCATCTGTGTGGTGACAAAACCAAACCACAGCCACATTCATTCATTCAATCCAGACAGGAAAAACAAAACAAACAAAATCCAAGTTTCGTGGTATGACCGTGAGGAAAGAGAATCCAGGAACGCTTTCTGTGGCGCTGCACAGAGCTGCTAGTATTTCATCCCGTGTCTGTATGGAAGGCGATATTTCATCAAACGATCACTGTTGAAGAATCTGACCACTCATTTAGGGCTAATGGAGAAAATCTGAGTAAAATCAGATTCCGTGAACATTGCTAAAACATAAACTTTTATTGTTTGCCACTCTGAGTCCTGACAAACGCACACAATGAAAACTACATTTACCACATTGTTTTATTTTCTGTTTGGAAACCCATTCTGGCTCTAATATCTTTATTTAGTAGGGTAATATATCACTGTAAAATCTTGCCTACAGCTTTTATTTTCATGGCAATTAAATGGTTATATACTTCTTTTTTAAATGGGATCTGAATTAATGACATTTTGTTTTAATTTAGAAGGGACTGATATTTTTCTTCCCTAATTGTTTTCTTGCATTTTTGATACATTTAGTGGAGAAGTGTTCTAATTGGATATAAGCTATCAAACAGTCTACCACATGGCCTCAGATAGAACAAAAATGTGTTTGAAGAGGAGGAAAGTTGGACAAATTCAGGTCATAAATACCACAGTTCAAGATTTCGTTTTTCGACTCATTATTACTCAGGCTGAATTTACTCCAGGTTGGAGCTGAATAATGGAGGAATCATAGCCCAAAGGGCAAGCATAGGCAAGAAAGGGAAGGAGGAGGAGGAAGAGGCTCCTGTCGCTCAGTCCGCTGTAGCTTGTCAGGCAGACGCTGGCCCGACACTGACAGGTGATCTCATTCTGCTCTGTCAACAACCCATGATGTAAATCATGTTAGCCTGTTTTACAGTTCAAGGACCTCAGGGTTGCTCAGCTAATGTGTAGGCAGGTCAAGGTGAAGGCCTGTTTAATCCCAAGTCTTTGACACTCAAACATCCCACCGCTCAAGTCTGTGAAAACCGTATTTTTTTTGGTGAAACAGAAAGGGCGTCCTGATATTTCTTGCAGAAAATACATGTGTGCCTGCCTACTTACAGTGGACTGTCTGCCAAACAACAGAACTGATGCAACTTTCCTGGAAGAATTAACGATTGTACAGTAAACCTTACTAATATCTTATTGATCATTTGTGGATGTTAGTGTTTGGGTATCCTTTGATTTGGAAAATATTCAGAAAATAAAGAGGGCAAAGATAAATTATAACTTCAACATTTGTACAGTCTCTCACTGGGGCAGGGATCAGGCCGGCAGGTGGGATGCCTGCATCTCATGTTGGAGCGCCGAAGTTTGAGTCCTCACTGCACTTCGGCTTCTGTCTCCTGCTGATGTGGACCCTGGGGGGCGGCAGGTAATGACTTGAGTACTTGGGTTCCTGTCACCCACGTGGGAGGCCTGGGCTGAGATCCGAGCTCTTGGGCTTCAGCCTAGCCCAGCCCTGGTTGTTGCGGATGTTTGGGTAATGAACAAGCAGATTCATTCATTTCTCTCTCTCTCTCTCCCTCCCTCCTCCCTCCCTCCTCTTATGATGTAAACATTTGAATGACCTATCATTCCCCAGGTACTTTCATATTAGATAAGAGGAAAAATGAAACTTCAGGTAAAAATACTTTTGTGAGAAAATCTCAATATAATTTTTTAAAATTAAAAAAAAATTTGAGAGATGAAGAGGAGCGGGGAGTGAAGGGGAAGGCGGGATGCAGGAATGGAGGGACAGAAGAGAGAGAGAGAAAGACAGAGAGAGACAGACACACATCTCACTCCCTGGTTCACTCCCCAAATGCCTGTAGCATCCAGGGATGGGCCAGGGCAGACCCTGGGAGTTAGGAATTCAGAGGAGGGAATTCAATCCAGGTTTCCCACATAGTTGGCAAGAACCCAATTGTTTCAGCCATGACTGCTGCCTCCCAGGGTCTGCATTAGTAGGAAGCTAGAGTCAGGAGCGGAGACAGGAACTGTTCACATCTTAATTCTCAATTGCAAGTGAAGACTTCACACCGTAAAACAGATGTTCGCAGGGGTCCAGCTGATAGCAGGTGTTTTGGCAGAGATGTGGTTCTCTGGTGTGGACCTGACTTTGCAGATCCTCCAGAGCCATGGGGAAGACAATGTCAAAAGTCACAGTGAGGTTGGATACCTTATCTTGGAAATCAAGTTTACAAATGTGGTCACTTATTTTACATTGCTATGACTCATGACCAACAAAAATGGTGGTTGGAGAATATAAGGAGCACAAATCAATAGCTAAATGAACAGTACTCACATGCCATCCTGAATTTTCATAGTATTGTATCTTTAGGATTCAATAATACCTTGTATTCTCTTCATTTAATTGAAATAGCAAATGAAAATCTAACTTGCTCTCATTAAAATGTAATGCAGCAATAGTTTACCTGATCACAAGGTAAAGAAATAATCCTTTTCTAAAAATGCAAAAATTCCATGTATGTTTCCCTGATTTTTAAAAGTACTTTGGAATACTTACATACATACTGACTCTTTAATATTAGCCTCTAGTCAATCACTATAAGATTTTTATTGAGGTTAGTATTTTATCTCTTCACAAAGAATTGATAGCAGGTGTGATATAGTTTTAGCTGTCCAATGGATGAACTTCCTTGGTCTCTGTGAAGAAGGGTGTTAGTTAACAATGATCATGCCAGTTGCAAACATTTTCATTTTGGAACACCTGTGAGAGGGCATCTTGTGTCTGCCTCCCTTTGAAAAATTAGAAATATTAAACTACCAGTTGAGCCTCATTGCCCTGAGCCAAAGGCTATGTGATCTGATCAGGAAAAGTGAAAAATAGAATAAAAAGGTATACACTGAACAATTTAATGTCAATTGTAGTCAGAACACCACGTCCGACAGAAGGTTCAGTTGGACAGAGAATGTCATTAAACGTTGCCTTTGTCATGCAGTGTATTTAGGGTGAGTAAAATCCAGAATTTGGGTTGTTGTTACTCATAAATTCTATTCAGGAGGGATCAGAAATAACGAAAATATCAACAAACTGTTGCTTGGATATAGACAGGTATTTGTTTTTCTTATTCTTTTGGTGGATGGTTTCATAAACATTTATTATAATATACTGTCAAATGAGGGCAAAAATCGTAAAATGAAGAAAGCAAGAGTAATTTTCTCTCTTTTTCCCACAACCGAAAGCCCTGCAGAGAAGGCAGAAGACTTCCAGCAGAAGAGCAAGTGGCTCAAGTGATCACTAAAAACAATGAAATTAAACAGCTGACTTATAAACCAAAGCCAGGCTGCAGCTTAGGCACCAGCGGCCTCCAGCCACTCGAGTGGCGAGAGTCAGAGTGATTTCCACCAGCTGGGGGGGACCAGCTGATCTGGTGACCTTGAAGGGCACATTCTCTTTTGTCCATGCTCAATGTCAGTAATGTTTCTTTGCATCAGGCCTTGGATCAGGTTTCCCGCTGAGATTTCTATTGGGATTCTTATCGGGGGCCAGAGCTCCAGATAAGGGATGACATCTTTGTTGCTTTGGTCCAAAATTATATGTGGTAGAGTCTCCTGCTCTTGCTTATTTCTCATTAGGCTGAAATACAATAAGAACACGAAGTATATGCCATTACAAATACTTGACTGTTTCTGCCCTGTAGTAGAGTTGGGTCACATCCTGTGCCTATGTGAAACGGCCCAAAGATTCTTGACTCCGAGACACTTGCTACACCTCAGTTGGCTTGCTTTTGCAGAACAGATACATTTAATGAAGAAAATCTACTTGCCAAATTTCTGTTTTAGTTGCAAGGTCATTTATGAAGTTCTCAAATCCTATATGGAGACACAGTGTTAATTTTGCAATTTTCTGACCCTGGGAAATAGGAAGTACAGATAAATATTACTCTGCAGTGATTCAAATGGCATTAGGGGTGAGACACACATCTTGGGGCTCTCTAAATATACTAAGCCAGTGGTGAAAGAAAACACAACATTTGCCCAGTTTCATTCAATTGATGATGGAATATTGTTCTTAAGGAATTGTTCTGTGTATCAGAAAGCAGTTGAGGATACTCTAAGAAGATCTTGGAGTCTCTCTACAAAAATACCACATGCGCAGCTTGATGTCGTGGCAATGACATAGTAGACTAAGATAAATTGGTGCTGACAGATGTAACTAACCATCAAGAGACTGTCCAACAGGAAAGTTGTGATCCGAGCACCATTCTTTCTTAGCTCTAAGCCTGCTTAACTGTCTCTCAGGAAAGTATTCACTGAAATGAGCACAGAACTCTGTGAGCTGCTTTTCCACTGTGGCTGAGTAACCTGAGAAGCACGTATTACAAACAAAGGTTCATACGTATTATAGGCTTTCTGTTCACAGCTCAAAATGCAGTAAAAATGTGGCTTAGATCAGTCAACGTATTGGATTGCAATTCCTAAGAAGGGTGTGGTGAGGAGAAACAGAAGGCAAAAATCACTTCCTGCTGAACTTGAAGCATCACTAGGGCAAGTGGAAAGGGTGACATGAATGTGAACAAAATCAAACAAACCTAAAGACCAGGCCATTATGTTGTTAACACCTTAGGTAAATTCCACTCACAGAGTAGCAGACTAATTAGAAACAGAAGGAAAAATGAAATTTATGTGTGTTTCTTGCGAACATACACACAAACACACAGCATGGATGAAATCCATTCCCTGGGAGTGGAAGGACTGGAAGGATGTGGGAATGATCTTATAACTCCAAGTTTATTGAGCACCTTCTGTATACCAACTTGTACTGTACTGGCTTTGTTACTAACCTGACATTTCCTAGTAGTTAATATGCATATATGGTAAAAAAAAATTAAAATATGACATTTAGCATAAGGAGCCAAATCTGCCCCTCAGCCTTTTGACAAGCAACCACTGCCCCCAAGATTTCTGCTTATTTCTACTCCATATATGTTCCACAACTACACAAACATTCAAAATAGTGTGCTATTGCACTGCCCCCATAAATTTTCCCAACAAACTACTGGTTCCTATATTGACATCGCTTTATACCCAAGGTAACTGAGGCTTAGGAACGCTCAAATAACATTCTCAGTAACGTTCAATTCATTTAGGGAGTGCCTTGTTTGCTCTAATACTAAGTAGGAGCATTACTCAACGTCATGACTTTGCTGCATCCTCTGGCTCTCTGGACACCCTTGCCAAGGTGGGGCAGAGTTCCAGCTTAGGATGCAAGCCTTAGCTGAAAGTCCCAGAACTTTGAAATCGATTTCAATGTATGTTTTAGCGGTGGAATATTTCTAAACTATTTGGGCTGCTTGACCTGGAAAAGATCTCAATGAGGAAATGAAATTGCTTTCAAGTTGACTATTCCTTTCATATCACAAAAACGGGAGAGGTACTTAGTGTGGGAACTGCTGAGTTTTAGTCTTGTGCTGTGTTCACACCTGGCATTTATTCTGAGCAGGGGAGCAACTGCTATCTTTAATAAAGAGATCTGAAATAAAATCACAGATATTTGCTGGCAAATAAAGTCAGAAATATTTTAAACATCAGTACTGGAGCAATTTCATATTGTCAAAATGATCATTCTTGAAGGATATTCAAAACATTAACTTTACTAGGGTGATCTGGAAATTAGGGTGTGTTATAAAGATTTGGGGCTTACTTCAGCAGCTCTGCATTGTTCAGAAGAGAGTTCATATTTTCTGTGGTCATCAGCTTAAACAATCATGACATTTTAGAAAGAGGGTCTACTAAACCTCGGTAGTTTTTATAAATGGAAATTTTAGGCTTTCATCTACTTTTAAAGTTTACTACTGGTTGAAACTGCTTCACAGTGGGGTTGATGGTATAAAATATGTCTTCTGCAAAGATCCATGCAGCCAGTTTACACATAGTTTGAGCTTGGAATTTTAACTCCCAGCATTGGGCAGGAAAGCAGCCAGAAACCACCTTACCATTTCTACCTTATGTGCTGAGCCGAGCAGAATGCGTCCAAAACCTTTGGAGAAGACAAATTTCTCCCAAGGGCCATTATCTGATATACAAAGTAGAACCTGGCTACTTCAGAAACAGCTGCCACCCTTGAAGGTGAGAGAGTTCGGGAAGCGCTGCAGGAAGTATTTACGGTAAAAAGCTCCATTCAATCAGTGGCATCCTTTCTAAAGCAGCAGAAGAGAACGAATGTGCCAAGAGGACGGCGGCATCAAGTGGGATGAAATGTACTTGTGAGAGAGCAGTGCCCTGGCACCGAGACGCAGGAGGCGAACAACCAGAGGGCAGAGGAATGCAGCTGTGGCACTGCCAACCGCGCCATGGTGCTCTGAGGGTTCAAGCTCACCAGTTCAAGCACGGCCGGTTCTCTCTGGATTTCACTATGCAACGGGTTCAGAAATTAATTTATTTGGCCTTGCCAACAAGCACCATATGTACCTCTGAAAGCTACTAAACCATGCTGCCTTATTGCACAGAGTAGGTCTTGACTTCCACTGAAAGGCTGATTTTCTACGATGCCTCTTGTTCCTCTTTAGCCACGCATCCTCTCCTCGACTCACAGAGCTTCTCACGCTCGTCTCCCTCTTATAAATCTACACAGATTTTTCAAAGACATCCTAATATAAAACTCAAACTGTGGAGTTGCATATTCTTTGCGGACTCTGTGTGGTTGCATACCATGTGGACTAGGTAATACCTACTTGTCATCATCCTTTCTCAGTGGAATATTAAAATAAATAATCAGACAAATCCCCACTGAGAAACACACCACAAATTAAAGCTGCTTTAGGTACACTTTTACATATTGCTGTTTGAGGAATATCTATCTTTTTGTCAGTGTGCAATTTAGATGAGTATAGGCTGCTCTTGGTTTAAGAGCATTTTCAAATTTCATCCTAAACTCTTTGTAAATTTTCATTTTTAATTCATTTTTAACTCAGTCTAAACTCTTGAGGGAGTCAGCCTCAGGTAATCACTAGGCAAATCCATGAGGTAGAAAATTGGCAGTGTATTAATTTGCTGCATTCCTTCAGGTCTCAATGTTTTGTTAAAATGCTCATAAATGCACCAACGGACTAACACCTAAAAAACAGCAGAGAAGAGACTCATGCCGTTATGATTTCGTTCTCAATAGAACAGGGATCTGTGAAACACGGATAAAGTGAGAAATACATCATCATGAATAATGTAGTAGTTAATAAATGTGACTAGAATTTTATTTTCTGGAATAAAAAAAGTTATATGTAGAAGAAAAGGATGGTAAACTTAATCAACTTTTGACATGTCAGATAATAATCTAAATTTACTCTTAAAAAAATCTACCCATGGGACCAGCGTTGTAGCTCAGTGGGTTAAACAGCTGCCCCCAGCACCAGCATTCCATACGGGTTCTGGCTGAGTCCTGGCGGTTTCCACTTCTGCTGGGAAAATAGTGGAAGATGGTGCAAGTCCTTGGGCCCCTGCACCCATGTGGGAGACCCGGAGGAAGCTCCAGCTCCTGGTTTCGGCCTGGCCCAGCCCTGGCTGATGAAGACGTTTTGGAGAATGACCAGCGGATGGAAGATCTCTCTCTGTCTCTGTCTCTCCCTCTCTTTGTAACTCTGACTTTCAAATAAATAAATAAATAAATCTTTTAAAAACACTACCCATTCAAAATCCAATTAGAAATATTATATTTGAAAAGTTTCTCTGCTATTTTTATGATTAATTAATTACTTTATTGTGTAGAAGAGGCAGTGGGAGAAGCAACGGGACACGAGAACATGCTTCATGGCTGATCAGACGGTGCTGCTGTTTTTATTCAACCCCAGTGTGGAGGTGGCTAACGGGACTGAGGTCTGAACGCAGACTCAAGCTGTCAGCTACTTCTGACTACATCCACCCCTCTGCTTCCATCTTCCTGAACTGCGGCTGAGCGTTCTTAGCCAGCCTCAGCGCAGAAGGAAAAGGGGAAAGAAGAAATGGTCAGGGAGAAGGGTGGAGAAGAGCCCACCAAATGTTCTGCTAGATTTGCAGCAAAGGCTCAAAGTCAGAAAAGAGAATGCAGAAGGCCTTCCCTAGCCTGGCACATCCAACAAGAGAGCGGGATGTCCGGGGGCCACCCTGCTGGTGGGTGAGCTGTCCAAACGCTGAGCCAAGGACAAATCTTGGACTATGAGGGCTCTACAAAAATCCATGGAACATGGAATTAAACTTCTGAAATTCATGCATATGGAGATCTTTAAAAAAGGTAGTAGAGAACGTACATTATGAAACATCTTTGTATGGATTTCAATTTTTTTTTTGCACAGAAATAAACAATCTTTATACTTTCCAAAAATTTTTTGAAATACTCTTATACTATTATTGGGATAGACAGAAGCTCATTCTCTCTAAATAACTTATCAAAATTCCTTATTTAAACACTCTTTTCACTCAATGAAAACTGAAAATATTTTCTTTTTAAAAAGTTTTTTTTATCTATTTATTTGAAAGGGAGGTAGAGGGAGAGATAGAGACAGGGTAGTGGGAGGAGAGGAGATGAGAGAGAACTGCCACTCCCTACTTCACTCCCCAAACACCAGCAACAGCTTTTGCCCAGGCCAAAGCTAGGAGCCCAGAACTCAGTCCAGGTTGCAGGGTGAGTGGCAGGAACCCAACTACTTGAGCCATTATCTGCAGCTACCCAGGACGTTGGATCAGAAGCAGAGTGGAGACTTGAATCAGGCTCTCCAATATGCATTGTGGGCAACCCAAGTGGCCCTAACCGTGGTACTAAATGTCGACGCCTGAAAAGGTTCTCTTAAAAAAAAAAAAAAAAAAGTTCAAGTGGGGATTCCAGTGACTAAGCAGGTCAACTGTTTACTCATTTTTTGTATCTATTCAAGATTGCAGAAAGAGAAAGAGTCAGACAGACAGCGTTCCCATCGGTCTGCCTGCTCACTTCCCAAATGCCCACGATGGTTAGGGCTGGGCTACTCCGAACCTGGACTCTGGGAACTCAGCTTAGGTCTCCCATGTGGATTCAGATCAGTTCCTTGAGCCGTCTCTGCGTCTGCAGGAAGCTGAGGCAGGAGGTGAGGCCAGGTACGGAACCCAGGCTTTCTGCTCTGGGTTGCAAATGTTTTAACTGGCATCCCAAATGCTAGGCTAGATTCCAACCCTGAGCAGTTCCCATCAAAGACACCATTAAATCATTTCAATCTGTCAGAGGCAGACTAGATAGTGTAATAAGTAAGACATCATTTAATGGGTTTTCTTCATTTTCAAAATCTTTGAATACATAATTACTGAACTTCTCCTGAAATCATTTGTAACTAATAATGAAAAACCCTGGTAGATAATCAAGACTATGCAAGCCGGTTATGACCCATAGGCAGTTCACTAAGGGACTGAGTGTTGACTACGTACCTATTAAAAGAGATGCTGTCAGTAGTTTGGGGTCATATGGACTCTTCCCACGGCCATTTTCAAAATGTGAGTCCTCCAGTTTAAAAATGTTGTCCTGTAGATTAAAAAAAGAGAAGGGTTCCATTTATTCCTAAAAAAGAAGTGTTTTTAGCATTTCAGATAATCAGATTAATTACCCATGTGCCACGGCAAGAGGTGTTTTTATTTGTGTCAGCTTGAGAGATGGCAAAGTAAGTTGATTGAAACCCAGCCGGCACTAGCACACTAGCTACTTAGCTTGGCGACTTTTAGCAGCAGATAGAACGCTGCAAGCGACAATGCACAGATGAACTCTCAAGGAACAGGCTATGTCGCGATAAGGACAGAGCAACCATTTTTCCTTCTCAAGGGTTTGCCAAGATCTACCCTGATGGTTCTCGAGGACAGAATGTTAAATAAAATGCCTTGCTTTCTGCCTTTACAGAGACGAAAAGAGCTGTTCGTCACATCAGATGTCCAGAGTAACTCACACTGTGTTATTTTTCTGCCTCTTCCAGAAGGCACTGCTCAGTGGCCATGGCCGTCACGTCTCCCACTCTACTCTGCACCACGTGGGGTTCGCGTGCTTCTCAGGCACTGTGGGGACATCAGCAGCCGGGAAGTCCCGGGAAACTACCCCTCATTCGCCGTCTCCCCAGGAGGGAAACGAGAAGGTACCCATGCCGTAGGGGCAGTTACTGCAGGTGGCACCATTAGACTACGCCCACTGTCCACCTGGCTGGGGATCGAGGCCCAAGAATGAGAAGGAACTTTTGACTGCACATAAAAAAGCGCGCACATCTTGAGTGCGAACGGGCGCAGGAGAGCAGGCCGACAAAAGCCCCGATAACGGAGTGATGCACCCATGCCTGTGTCGGAACGTGTCCCAGGAACCACAAATGTCTGCAGCAACGGCGGATTTGGGGATATTTCTGAGCACGCTTTGCAGAATGAGGTGTCCTGGGGATTAATTAGCTCGGAATATGCATGCTTTTTCCAGTAGCACATTAACTTGTCCACAGACTGAAATAAAATAGCGTTTTTGGCAATTCCTCTATTCACATAAAAGTATTTTCTATCTTCTTAGGATAGTAAATGGTGTTCATTTTATGGTCAATAAGGATCGCTTTATTTTAATGTTTAATATTTCTGATGGAGCTAATGGCAGGGTTTCAAGCTATGACTCTGGAAACCCATCTGAAGTACAGAGGGACGCGGTCAAGGCAGCAAACCAAGAGTGCTTTCCGGTTTTATGACTGAGGGTGACAAGTCCCAGTTCTGTTCTTTCCTTGTGCTGGTCCTGTGTTTGGTCACTGACCGTCCCCTGGCAATGATGGCTCAGCTTATTTCTATACTTAAACTGAACACTAATGTATGGGCTTTCTCTGAATTGGGCTCAGCTGTAGCATGGGGGGCTGTGAGCCAGGCACCGGGCAAGTGAATGGCTCTGGCTGCTAGGTCACCATTTCCTATCTCTGGGCCTCTGGTCTCAAGAAGTCAGTATGGTTACAGCCACTTAACCTCTCAGAATTACTGGGGGATTCAAGAAATTATATAAAAATAGCAAAATACAAAATAAGGGCAATTTATTTTATTCTATTAATATTCCTCATGTTACCATTAAAACAAAATAATGTGAAAATTTAAAGCAAGTTGTTACTGTTTTGATCAATTTTCCTAACATAAAGTAAAAGAAATATTACTTCGAGACAGTTATATAGATAACTAAATTCCAAACTTGTTCATAAATACAATTTATCACAGCCTCTTGAATATTAAAATATAATATGAAACTTATTTGCATACCCTAATAAAATATAGAACATTTTGAGAAATATTGCGAATGTGTATCTGCTATGATTAAAAACTAGGAAATACTAAAAAAGAGGTATTGAGAGAAAGATCTGTGTTCTACTGCCACAAATCATAAAAAAATACTAAAATTTGTACATGTGGATACTTTTCACAGGTTAGAAGAAGCAGGAAGACATGGTGGCATGGCAGCAAACCATGTCATATGTAAATGCTGGTCTTGTTTCTTGGCTCCATCAGGCCGTTTAGAATACTGACAAAAATCAAGCAGCCATGGCTCGAAGCAAGAGACACTTCATGTCAGCAACCACTTGAGAACACTTCAAAAAGCTTACAGAAAATGGAATCAAAAGATAAGTTCATTTTGTTGCAAAACAAATTGAAAATCACGCATCTGGGAGGTTTCGAAAAGGTTCATGGAGACATGAATCATGAAGAAACTATTCAAGGATTTCTGAGCTTCTTTACCAGAATGCACTTATCTTTCAATTCCAGGCTTCCGTGAACTTTCTGAAGTCCTCTTGTCTATCAGACAATGTCTACCTTACAAGTCTATCAGACAATGAATGCTGTGGAAGAGGAGTAACACTTTCCGTCTTGCAAAGTGTTTGATTTACAACAAGGATTAGCCATCCCAGAAGAGAGGTTAGATGTCGGTTCTGGTTCAAGAGCTTTCCTTGGTCATGCGTTCAATCCTTCCTCCTTTCTGTTCCACCCATAAATACACCCAGCTAATCATGGTCTCTTCCACTGACACACAACATCGTTCCCTTAAACATCACTCAGCCCGATTTCTGGGTATCTCCCCTGTAAATCTTCTGTGTTCTCCTAGGATTCTGCAGAGGGGCAAACCAAATTGGATTTCCTTTCCAGCTTAGTGAGATGAGAGTCTGGAAAGAAACGTAATTTGATGTCTGGACTGGGAAGTAAAATGACATTTCTTACATGCAAATGTTTGTGGTGCAAAATTCATGCCCGTTGCATGCGGTAATGGGACCAAAGCATGGTGGAATCAGAAAGAGCTGGGTGTTATCTCTGGATCTGTCATTTATTAGGGCCTCAGGAAATTCTCAAAACCCTCTGAAACTCAGGTTCCACACGTACAATAGGGTAAGAAAAAAATATCATCATCAATGTGAAATTTATAGTAATTATGCACATAAAACATACCTAGTATGACTTCAGAAAAAATCATTAATCTCCCTTTCTGCTGTTTATAGTTGCCACAATAAGATCATTCTGTCCTACACTGACTGAAATCTCTGATGGCAGAGAATCGCCTTCCTATATTTTCATTTGTGAAAATTAGGGCAGATCTTTAAAATATGTGTACTGTTTTGGACTTGCACATTGCATAGAAGATCAGTTTTTCCTACAGCTAGGCAAAAGTCGAGTTGATAAGCTTTCCAGAACAAATGATTAAAATTAGAAAAAAATATTGTTTTTCTCAACATGGGATTTTCTTTCAAACATGGCTTCCATTCCATTAAATTCATTCCATTAAATTCATTCATAACATTTCATTAAAACATTTTACTGGGAATCTCTTGAAGCTAGAACAGCATTAAATAGAATACTGGCAATAATTAATTAAAGTTAGTTAACAAAAAAAGATCTCGTTTATAATATCTGGGAAATGTAACATCATTGATATTAAGAGACCCCAATATTGCTGATTCTGTTATCCAGTGAGCAAGACTCATTAGATGTGTGAAGCCATTGACCCACTGCAAAAGCACACCGTGTTGCTAAGGTTGTGTATTAAGCCCTTCGTGGCCATATGCTACACATCATGTGGTTCACTCTCTGGTCCTACTTGCAAGGCCTTTTGAAATCTGATTGCTACCCAGTGACTCTCTGCTTTAGAAGAGCGTCAAATGAATCACATATGCAAATAATGACTGAAATCCTAGGAGCAATTTGCACAATTAAATTGCATAGCTTCCATGTCTACCTTGGGCTGAAACAGCTTTCATTTTTAGTAAAACATGAGCTGCGGTCTAGCTGCATGGCCTCTAATTGCTTTAGCAGATACTATGAACAGAGCATGTAAGTTATTGTGCCATATTTTATTGCACGATTGCATCAGTTTTCAACGACTATTTTTAGCTTTCAAGACCAGTCTTTCCCTTTGTCTTTTGGATTTCCTGAATGTTATTAGACTGCAGTGAGGTAAGGCATTAGAGGAAATAATAACCATGCTAATGCCTAACCCAAAGTCTTATAAATTTAAACTATTGGTGACATCACAGCAATAAATTTCCCAAATCTCAATCTTGTCCAAGCAATAAATTTAGGTAACAAAGTTGCAATTTTATGCAATGCTTAAAACATAAATGATATTTTTAAAAGGAAAGAAAACCCTACATATATGTGACAGAGTGAACATTTTTTGTGTGGAAAATTACATAAAATTATGTAAAAAGCACCAGCGGGGCACTATTGAAAGAATGTACATTATTATATTTTCAGGATGTTTATTATTACATTTTCTGAAGCTGTTCTTGCTGTTCTCCTGCCCCTCTCAGAAGACGTCTGCGTGCGAGCAGGTCGTCTGGAGTACGCAGCCCTCCTTGGTCGTGCCCTGCTATTCTCGTCTTCGCTTGAAACTCCTTCCTCCCCCCATCACGCACCCTCAGCCTCCACCCCGGATGACCTCCCTTTCCTGTAAGATTCCTTCCAGAAGTCACATCCTAGGAGAAGTTGTCAGAGATTTCTGCAGAGGTGATTTACTGGGTTTTCTTTGTGTATTAATTAACAATATAGAAGGCAATGATACACAGGGTAGAACTACAGTCTTCAATAAAGAAAGGATGCAATAAGATCCCACGGGAAACATCATGGCTGCCACACGTCAACCAATGGAGAGCTTTCTGTGGGTTAAGGTCATCCAGAAGTGACTTTTCCTAAAATGGTGATTCCAAATCTGAGTTTTACAGGCATAAGTCTGAATTTAAGTCAAATTAATTAAAAGAGAAAGATTCCATCCCTCAGTTGGTTGCATCAGCTGCCTTTCAAGTGGTCAACAATCACATGCGGCTTGAGGCAGTGATAACAGACGGAGGCAATGCTGAATATCTCCACTGTCGCACAAGTCCTGCTGGACAACATGAAATCCCAACTCCTTTACTTTCTGTGGCACTGAGTCAGGAGCTGGTGTCACCGGGCCAAGGACTGGATATTTGACGACAGACCACACCCACAGCAGGGAAAGTCCCAGATATGAAAGAGGGGAGCCTACTGAACACAGAAATTTAGCTGTTA